GTTGTCTTTGTAGTATTTTCTTTTAAAAATATGGTTTACATGATTTGCACATCATTCCATCCTATTTTATATACATTCTACACAGCAACTTTTTTGGGAATGGGGTTGTACTATTAATAATAATAATAAAATAATAATAATAATAATAATAATAATAATAACAACTAGAAAAGTAAATGCAAAGTGATTGCACAGCTTAAGCAGTTGCTAGGTGGTTGCTAGGATGTTGCTAGTTGGTTGCTACGATATTTTAGGTGGTTGCAAAGGTATTGATAAGCAGTTGCTATGGTATCCAAGGTGGTTGCTCGGATGTTGCTAATGGACTTGTATCAACATGACAGATGACATGAGCAATCACTAATAATAATAATAATAATCTTTATTTATTAAGCTCTTTTTTTAAGTGGAAGCAGCTTAGATTGCTTTTCAGACAGGAGATAAAGCTAAACAATAATATAAGAAACTATGAGCATTAATTTAAAATCATATAAGACAATAACAGATCAGATTAAAAAGATAAACACCAGAGAGACGTAGAGTTTTAATGAAGCACTGAGTTAAAGAGCTGCGTTTTCAGATGTTTATTAAAAATGAGCTCTGAGCTTGACTGTCTAATAAAAGGTGAACTGAGCTCCACAGTTTAGAAGCAGAATAACAGAAAGAATCTCTCCACGTTTTCTGTATTTTATGGAAGGTGTTTGCAGAAGCTCAGTATCTGCAGATCTAAGATCATAAACAGACATTCAGGAGCTTTAAGGTCATTTAGAGTTTTAAAAACCAGCAGCAGAGCTTAACAATTTCTCCTAAAAGATCCAGGCAGTATACCATTAGTGTAGTAGTAAATACTACAAACATTTTAGCATTTTTCCTGAAATGCAGAAAGATGCTTATGCTCTATGATCTTTTTAAAACTTTTTCTAATCACAAAATCATATCAAACACCCCCCTATCTGATGTTATGTGCCTCTAGAGCCCCCTTGGTCTGGATGGCCGCTGCCCTTGAAGCAAAGATGGAAGCATCCAGAACATGTACTTCTGGAGGTACAAGAACACTGAGCTAATCTCGCTGAAATTAATACGCTGTTTACAATCGCAAGATTCTGATGATGCATGAGGTCCAGATGGAGGGCAAGAAGTGAAGAGCAGAGTGGATGAGATGGAGACGAGCCCGTACTGCACTAGTTTAGACCATATTACCAGAGAAAGATATAAACAGAAAAACACAGCAGATGTTAGATGAGATCCTTCTGTTACAAAAGTGAGTAACTTAATCACCCTTCAGACGTCCTTCTACTCAAGATCACTAATGAAAACACACAAAAATGTGAAGGCACAACTTTATGACCTTCCTATTCTAATTTTCCCGTTCCACCTTAAATGGTGCAGCAGTTATTATTATTACGCCTGGTGTCAGACTGTAAGTGCAGTGTTCACATGGTTGCAAAAAAATCACTCCACATATCATAGTGGGAAGCAACTGACAGCAGCATGAAGCCATGTAACGTTGCCATGGAGATAGCAGTGCCGGCAAAAATGTCTGATCATTAGAGGATCTTTATCATTGTAGGCTGTTTAATTAAGGTGGAGAAAGGCAGGAGACGCTCTGTATTCTTTTATTGTTGTTGTATAATACTCTTCTGGAATTCAACAATGAGATGTTTGGCGTCCACGGCTTCCCAAAAAATTTACATCCGGTTTATTGCACATCTACGATTAATGGCAAAAGTTGGGAAAATTGAACTCTTAATAGAACATTCCACTCTCCCCTGCGATCTGTAGAACGCTGCTGTCTGCAGCTCCATGGAAAACAATAAAACATCCAGTTTTCTGTCATCTGTCTACCGCATGTGTGAAACGCAGGATCACTGCAGCACCATTTAAGGTGGAACAGGAACAGGAAAATCTGAACAACAAGCTGCCTGGCAGGGTGAGTTATATAGAACTTTTTTGAAAAGGGTTTTATATAGCACCCAAAAGGGTTCTTCTATTGTTACAAGCTCTTTTCAAAAAGGTTCTATATAGAACCTACAGAACATTCTCCATCAATCTGAAGAACCATTTCATGATGCAAAGAACCTTTGTGAAGAAACATCCTATTTAAGAGTGTGGTTATCTGTGTACCATGGATTTTGTATTTTAGTTGGAAGGGTAAAATAATAATAATAATAATAATAATAATAATAATAATAGTAGTAGTAATATACAGACACACACTGCTAATGTCATAAAAAGGCTATAGTACTGTTACAATTTTTCAGTGTCATGGCCTTAAATTAGCTGAAGAATGCGGACTGACTCAAAGTTTAGGACTATTGATTTGGGATTCGACTTGAGACTCGGCTTCACTGACTCAGGACTTGAATCAAGACTCGACTATCTTGACTCGGGACTTAAGTGTGAAGACTTGAGACTTACTTGTTACTTGCAACTTAGTGACTTGTTCCCACAGAGTTCGCACAGATGAACTGTCCAGAACACAGAAACCAGAGGCGAAGAAATTTTTACTGCTGTTTTTCAGTCAATTTCTTGTGTTTTTCTTGCCTATGAACAACAATTTTGGTCCTCAGTAAAAGCTTCATGTGGTTTCTTGGTTAGATTAATTTGAGCAGCTGTAAATGATTCAAACCACAGACATTTAGAGAGCTTGTGACAGCTTCCTGTGTAGAAAATCACTTTCTGCCCTCCATCTGCAGTTCGCGCCACAGTAACGCAATGGCATGACATCATATGCAAACAGGCTATGGAGCTAATGCTAATGCTAATGACTCTTCAGTTTTATGGCTCTCCATGGTTGTATCGCAGACAGGATTTCTGAATTAGTCAGATAATAAAAAAGCCAAAAGTCAAGGCCAGTGAGGAGTGAGGAGCTCATTCCTGCTGGACGGTCCTCACTGGACAGCCTATGTTCTCACGCTAGCTTCCCTGTGAAGTCCTCAGACATTCCTGTTGGTGTAATGCTCTCCAGACGTTGCAAAACTGTGTTTTCCATGCTCTGTCACACTGATTCAGCTCATCAGGTTATTACACAGGCCTTTATAAGTCAGGCCAGTCAGAGTGAGAGAAACATTAACATATCTGAGAACCACTCAGAGAACCATTCGAAGAACCACTGCTGTGACATTAAAGACAGCTGTGAGAAAAAGTCAGTGATGTGTTTGGTATGATCTGGACTGGATTTCCTGTCAAATTGTAGAACCAGCATCACATCTTGATGCTAAAGATGATCTTACTTTAATAAAGCTTTTGGGAAACAGAGCCCTTAACTTCCGGTTTAAACACTCAGCTTTATTAATTTATTAAAAACAGAGACAGTTAGAGAAAAAGGAGAGGAAAAGAGAGGACAAGAAGAGAAAGGGGTTAAGAAGGAGAGAAAGAGGAGAGAAAGTGGAAAGAAGGAAAAGAAGTAGCAGAGAAGCATGAAAGAAAGTGGTGGAAAAGGGGAAATGAGGAAATAAAGTAGGAGAAAAAGTATAAGTAGGAAATAAAGAGGAGCAGAGAGAGGGAAGAGTGAAGGAGATTAAAGGAAGGAAAGAAAAAGAAAAAAGGGAAAAGGAGAAGTTGAGGTAGGAGAAAGGAAGGAGTTAAGGACAAGTGAAAAAAGAGTGAGGGAGGAGTGAAGGGGGAGTGGAGGAGGACAGGAAAATGTAAAGTGTGAGGGAGTAGAGGCAGTGGTGAAGGAGTAAGGGAATGTGGGAGTAGTGAAGAAGAAGTGAGGGAGTAGTGAAGGAATGAGGAAAGAGTGAAGGAGGAGTGAAAGAGGACTAAGGAAAATGTAAAGAAGGAGTGAGGAAGAAGAGAAGGAGGAGTGAAGGAGAAGTGAAGGAGGAATAATGCAGAAGTGAGGGAGGAGTGAAGGAGGAGTGAGGGAGGAATGAAAGAAGAGTGAGGAAGGAGTGAGGGAAGAGTGACAGGAGTATAGGAGGAATGAGGAAAGAGTGAAGGAGGAGTGAGGGAGTAGTGAAGGAGGAAGTGAAGGAGGAGAGAGAGAACAGTGAAGGAGGAGGGATGGTTAGTGAAGGAAGAGTGAAAAAAGAGTGAGGAAGAAGTGAGGGACTAGTGAAGGGGGAGTGAGGGAGTAGTGAAGGAGGAGTGAGGGAGGAATGAGGAAGGTGTGACGGAGGAGTGAGGGGGTAGTTGAGGAGAAATGAAGGAGTAGTGAAGGAGGAGTGAGGGAGTAGTAAAGGAAGAGTGAAAAAGGAATAAGGAAGGAGTAAGGGATGAGTAAAGGAGGAGTGAAGGAGGACTGAGGAAAATGTAAAGAAGGAGGGAGGGAGTAGGGAAGGAGGGGTGAGGCAGTAGTGAAGGAGGGGTGAAGGATGAGTGAGGAAGGAGTGAATGAGTGAGGGAGAAGTGAGGGAGGAGTGAAGGAAGAGTGATGGAGTAGTGAAGGAGTGAAAAAGGAGTGAGGAAGGAATGACAGAAGAGTGAAGGAGAAGTGAGGAAGTAGTGAGGAATGAGTGAAAGAGGAGTGAGGAAGGAGTGAAGGAGAATTGAAGGAGGAGTGAGGAAGGAGTTAGGGTGAAGTGAAGGAGAAGTGAGGGAGTAGTAAAGGAAGAGTGAGGGAGTAGTAAAGGAGGAGTGAAAGGAGTGAGGAAGGAGTTGGGAAAAAGTGAAGGAGGAGCGAGAGAGTAGTGAAGGAGGACTGAAGAAGGCGTGAGAGAGTAGTAAAGTAGGAGTGAGAAAGGAGTGAGGGAGGATTGAGGGAGGAGTAAAGGAGGAGTGAGGGAGGGGTGAGGCAAGAGTAAAGGAGTGAGGCAGGAGTAAAGGAGGAGTGAGGGATAAGTTAAGCAGAAGAGAAGGAGGAGGAAAGGAGAGAGCGAGAAGTGAGAGAGGAGTGAGTGAGAAGCTAAGCAGGACAGAAGGAGGAGTGGAGGGGTGAGGGAGAAGTGAGGGAGAAGTGAAGGAGGAGTAAGACAGCAGTGAAGGAGGAGTGAAGAAGGAGTGGACGAGAAGAGAGGGAGGAGTGAGTGAGAAGTTATGCAGGAGAGAAGGAGGAGAGGTGGGGTGAGGGAGTAATGAGGGAGGAGTTAAGGAGGAGCAGTGAGGGAGGCTTTTCCTTCCCCGCCGGTGTGCATGGCGCGCTGTGTGTAGTGCGGGACAGTGTGAGGATGGGGAAGGAGAGGCGCAGGCTGGTGTGCGTGTGCTGCGGTTTAGTCGTGGCTGTGGTGGCGGTGCTGTTGATCATTGTGTGTGTGTCTCGTTCTAAATGTCCGGGGGAGCGATTCTCCCACGCAGCCGTCGCCGCCGACTCACTCAGGTGTTCCAACATCGGCAGGTAAGACTGAATACACCTGCACACTCACACTCCTCACACACACCTCACACCTCCAGCCTGTCAACTTATTAACCCCTCACTGAATGTGCATTTAACAAACTTAAGACTTATTAATCATTTATTACAAAAACACTTATTATTCAGTGACTAGTACATATTATTCAGTATCTAATATTAATTGTTCCAGTACTATTAATTATTCAATAACTACTGTAAATCCCTCAGCATCTGCTATGAATTATTCAGTATCTACTATGAATTATTCAAAGTCTTCTATACATTATTGACCTTCTAATATGAATTATTCAGTATCTACTGTGAGTCATTCAGCATCTACTATGAATTATTCCTTATCCACTATGGATTATTCAATATCTACTATTAATTATTCAGTATCTTCTAGTAATTATTTAGCATCTAGTATAAACGATTAAGTATCTTCTATTAATCTTTGTTTTAGAATTATTTATCAGATTGTGTAATGTAAGTGATTAATAAATCACTTTAAATTGACACGGTTCAAACTTCTTTTAGCAGGAACTGTCTCAAATCTTCTCTGTACAGTATTTAAAGCTACTGTTACTGATAGTTTTGTCAGCAGTGCAGCACAAGCATACGGTAAGTGTGTGATAACACACTGAGATAATCTGAGCTGTAATCTCTGGAGATTATCAGATGTGCATAAGTAGCACCTACAGCGCTGTCTGCTGCTCTACAGTGAGTGTGCAGACTCAGAACAGAGGAACAAAGCTGCTGAGGTTGTGCAGTTTATTTGTCCATGTTTATAGATAACAGTGGTTCAAACAGTGTCAGAATCACATAATCAAGAATATTAGAAATACTGAACGACTTTGAGGCCAATGTGATGATTTAGGGTTATAGTTAGCACCATGCTACTTGGGTATAAGCTTCCATTAGCCCTGTAGCTCCAGTTCTCCAACTAAAGAAGCAAACTTCATAAACCAAATCTGTCTTTGCTGACCGACTACACTTGGCGTAAGAGGGGAGCGGGACTGGGGGGATTAGATTTTCTGAAAAATTGCAGTTCACTTTAATGCAGAGTTATCTGTCTTTACAGACAGTAAGAGAACAGTGGGCTTCTGTCAGCCTGCTACTGGCTTTTTGCAGAATGGTAGAGAAAATTACACTTTTCATCATTCATTTCCCACTAACAGTCCAATTCACTGATTTTGATGCAAATTAGAAGTGATATGCAAATCATGTAAATCATATTTCTAAAGGAAATATCACTCATTACTAGGAGGCTTAGCTCAGGGGTTGGCAACCCAAATGTTAAGAAGAGATATTTTGTCCTTTCAACAAAAACGAAACCACCTTGGGAGCCACAACATTTTATATCGGTTTTACCATCTTGGCTATAAATAAGTCTTAATATGTGCTGATGTGCTAGTATAGACTAAAAATATAATATAAACGAAAACGCAGACTTACTTTGCTCTGCTTTAACCTTTAGCTCAGCTATAGCCTCTTTTCTCGCACCTTAGTCAGGAAACTTTTCCGTGAGTTTCTTGTAAAATGTCTCTCAATGTGCGACTTTTTTGTTTTTTTGCCATTTTATGTTGAAAAACGTTGTTCTTGAATTGTTGCACAATTTGTTTGTGCAGTCTTTCACAGAGTGGTGAACCCCTCCTCATCTTTACCTCTGAAAGACTCAGCCTCTCTGAGATGCTCATTTTTACCCAATCATGTTTCTGACCTGTTGCCAATCAACCACCAGGTGTTTTTTTCAGCATTATACAACTTTACCAGACTTTTGTTGCCCCCGCCCCAACTTTTTTGGAATGTGTTGTTGGCATCAGATTCAAAATGGGCATCTATTTTTCAATAAACAATAAAATTTCTCAGTTTCAACATTTGATATGTTGTCTTTGTACTATTTTTAATGAAAAATAGGGTTTAAATGATCTGCACATTGTTGCATTTTGTTTTTATTTACATTTTCCACAGTGTGCATTTAAAATCTGACAAGCTTTAAAACTAGTTAGACCTTATGTGCAGGACTGTAAACTGGGTAGTCCGAGGGTGGACCAGCAGTGGTGCACAGTAAGCAAAGGACTTTATCAAGCCAACCTGACGATCTGGGCTTATTCTGCTGTTTGCTGTGCTAAAGTTGGCACTGATAAGTTAATCTCCTCTCTGATAAAGCACAGAGCAGCTCTCTTTATTCACCTTAGTCACTCATGACCTCACAGCACATGTTAACCTTTAGAAACCCAACGTTATTATTGTTCATTTCCTGTAAAGTGTTATGTAATATTGAGTCAAATCAATTCTTATGTTAAAGAACCATGAACTGTCTGATCTCTGTACTCCACCAGAGGGCAGTGAAGAGCCTGTGTCTTAGTTTCGGCAGATATATGTAATTGTGATGGTTTGAGCGACATCACAAAAAACAGTGAATTCAAACAGTTTAGTTTCCAAATATGGACCGTGCGTGGCGTCCTGACGAGCAAATTTTATTTATTAATTTTGAATATTGTTCTTTTTTTAATGGTTAAAAATTTGAATATCAAATTTGACTGAAATGCTGATACTTACAAAAACAAATGTGGTACGGATTGAAATTTAGAATCAACAACATTCTCTGTTCTTACTTGAGTAGGGGGCAAACTCCCCCACCAATGTGCCTCAGCTATAAAAAACAAATGAGAAACATTTTTACTACTAAGCTAGCAAAGTTATGAGTTACGAGCACTGAAAAGTCACTGACCCGGTCATCTCTGCCATTAAGTACATTTTCATCTCTCATTGCTGCTAGGCCTACTGTTCCCATCCTGCAGCCTCTCGGTTTCATTTCACTCTTTGTTTTCTCAACCTCTGAGCCATCTTCAACCTCCCTCACATGCTCCCATGGTCATTGTCTCTCTCTGACCCCTCGTCGTGACAGCCACGTTGCCTTAGGTCACTGAAGCTGAAATTATTGGTTCACGAGAGAAAAAAAATGAAAAGAAATAGTTAAAAAATCCAGAAGCTGAAACCAGAGCTGTTTTTTGTTTATCTTCAGAACTTCAGATTCATGATCATCCATCATGACCTACAGCAATTTAGACCCGCCCATTCAGCCTACAGCACTTTAGCCCCACTCATTTAGCCTACAGCAGTTTAGCCCCGCCAATTCAGCCTACAGCAATTTAGCCCAGCACACTTAGGCTTAAGTGTTTCAGTCCAGGCTGCTGAGGCATAATAAAAAGCCAATCAGAACAAAGCTTGTTTACGCATATCAGTCTTAAAGGCACAGTCTGTTTAATTGTAAGGGATAAAGAGTGGTCGGAAAATGTAAATGTAATAATTTATATAAAGATGTGTTTACATACAATACGATCCCACTTCCAAAAAAGTTGGGATGCTGTGCAAAATGTAAATAGATGTAAATTAAAATAGAATGCAATGATTTGCAAATCTCATAGACCCATATTTTATTCACAATAGAACATAGAACACATCAGATGTTGAAAGTGAGACATTTTGCCATTTCATGATAAATATTAACTTATTTTGTACTTGATTGCAGCAACGCATGTGATGTGTTCTATGTTCTATTGCAGGGGTGTCAAACTCAACCAGTAAAAGGGCCACATTAAAAATATCTCATCAAATCTGTGAGCCAGAGAAAAAAAAAATATTTATATTGTGCTAAAACCCAAACTGGCCATTGTTTATTCAAAATTTGTAAAAAACAGTAAAATACAGACACTTGTAGTAGACCTTAATAACATAGATGAAATATTACATGGATACTTGAAATATTCAAAATCTAAAAGTCCCCAGGAGCTCAGTCTTTTAAACCTACCTATTTGCTTGAACTAGACACCTGGCATCTTTTCTTTACTGCAAGTTTGTTAATACTTGGGCTCAGTTTCTGAGCTGCTGCGCTGATGTTAAGTGTTTATGTTGGCTGAACTGCAGCTGAAATGCATTTTAATGATATGACTGGTGTGGAATTGCACAGAATTGTGTACAAGTCAGAAAAGATTACGTTGCAGTGCATGCTGGGGACTGTAGTGAAGCACATTGTGAAACGAGCTAATATTAATAGAAAATTAAAATACTTTTGAGGGCCGGATAGGATTGTGCAGCGGGCCTGATCTGGCCCGTGGGCATTGTGTTTGACACATGGGTTCTATTGTGAATAAAACTGCATTCCTTTTTATTTACATTTATTTACATTTTACATGGCATCCCAACATTTTTGGGGAATTGGGGTTGTATGTAACATATTTACAACAATATTTTTGGTATATGAAACCACACAAATGTAATGAAAAGGGAGAAAAATGTAGGATATTGACACTTTAATCTACCAGAATTACAGTAAATGTTTCAGAATATTTTCTACATTTATTATATTTTCTAATATTGAGTTGCTTTTGTTTACATCTGTAGCCCTTGCCATCAGCTGGCTATGCATCAGAAACAGTAAAACTAAACATGCCAAGAGGTGTTTGGAGGTTTACACACAATGATGGACCTGTGAGGTTGACGAGGTGTTGAAATAATTCAGTTGCATCATCAACAGTAGAGGTTTATAAACTGAAAAGAAAAGTTAACAAGGTCAGCAGAAGAACAATAACCCCTTTGTAGATCAGAGGCATGCAGGAAACCCTGTCACTTTTCTTCAACTGCTATTTTTGTGTGTCTCACTTCCTGAATATGATGCCAGAGTTTGAACACAGCATTTCCTTGTCAGGGGTCTCCGGTGTCCACTTAACACCCTTCAGAGCTGTTTGTGTTGAAAAATAAACAGAAGGAGGCAGCACAGACGCTGCTCTTTAGTCTCTGACCAGCCTCCTGTCCTCCATGCCAACTGAATAAATCAGCCTGAATGCAATGTTACTGCACACAGCTGCTCACTGTGGGAAAAATGTTATTCCAGAAAAGCAAACAGTTAACATTCTGAATGTGGGCATACTGTGAAATAATTGTTGGTGTCTTAACTTAAAAAATAATGTAAACATGCTGAAATCAAACTCATTGAACTC